TCTGTCTTTTTTATGGCTTATTTGGTTCTGCAAATAAATCATTGCCTGTGCACCGTCCCTGCAAGATCCCTGGTTACGACACTGAAAAGCTATTTTAGCTCCTATAAAGTGCCTATATTTTTGGGGAAAAHTCCTATATTTTCCTATATTTAGAACTTGCACAGCCTATATTTCCTATCAAATTTGTCTAAAAAGTGGCTGGGATGCCTGCGATCAGTGATATCGATATCAGTAGCAAATGGACTGGTAGCAAAAGTGCAAAAGTACAGGGTAGTGAAAGGACCAGATAGGGATGATAGTCATAACATTATTCTTTGTTCGTGTGTTGATGTTACAAATATATAATATATTGGCACATTGTAGGACTGTGTCAGAATCTATCAGACAATACAGAAGTTACCCTCCTTCCTTAAGCTCCTTGAAAGCTACCATGGCAACCATGAAAAACTAATCAAAGAGTATTTCAAGTCTCCCTTGCAGGTACTGTTGTTCATACAGATCTTATTTGTAACACTGTTAAATTCTTAAATGATCAGTGTTACCTCATATTAACTCTGCTCTAAAGTCATTTTTTTCTGAAAACTCATGAAACTTATTTTATATTTGCCACATGCTTCCAAACCTCTCCATAATAACACAGAAATATAATTATATACCATAACAGTATTAGTTGAGCTTCTTGTGATTTTTTAGCAGTGTGTTTTGATCAATATTGAATGATTGTGGCACAAGATGTGAAACTGACATATCATTTAATACTGTCTGACAAAACAGGAACTGCTAGAGGATTTTGCAAAGTTAAGCGAGCTTGTGGAAACAACGATTGACCTTGAACAAGTGGAAAACCATGAATATCTTATCAAGGCATCCTTTGATGAGGGACTTCAAGGTATATTCCTTATTTCTGTTATCCTTATAATTACTAAAACCATTATCCTTTAAGACATATTTTTGATATTCCCAAAACTAACTTTCTTTTCCCAAACATTTTGTGTCTTTCCTTATCCTGCCCTGAAACTGTTTTGCCCCCACAACCTGCTGCACAACAATCTGATCCTCAACAGGCTGATCAATCCAAGTGGGTGTCGGTGTAAAACTCCTAACAGGGCCTCATAAGGAAACTATGCTTCACCACTGTTTTCCCTTTACTGTCTGTTTTAGAGTGCAGAGAGAGAATGGATGAAATATTGGAAAAAATTCCTTTGGAACTGAATAAGGTTTGTTTCTGTACACAGGAAAAAAACTGGATTCCCAAATTGGGAATTTGTTGGGAATTTCTTTGAATTCCCAAYGAATTCCCATCCAATTCCCAGAGAGAACGAAATTGGGAACATGGCACTGATTCCCAATGTTAGTTTGTTGGGAATTTTCTTTTTCTTTTGGGTATTAGAAGGAAATTCCCAACAATAAATCCCAACGTTGGTGTTCAAATTGGGAATTCAAGGAAATCCCCAACAATTCCCAATTTGGGATTCTGGGATTCTGAGAATTTATGGTTTTTTATAGAGGCTGTCCTCAAGCCCTATAATGTTCATGGCAGCCATGATATAGAGCAAATCAATAGGAAATAAAAACAAGAAACAAAAACAAACAAAAATGAAATATCTTGGCAAACAAAAACATAATGCATTGTTCCTGCCCTAGAACATGACCACTGAAACAACTTTCTTCTTAAAATCAGACTGAAGGAATCTTTTTGTTTTAATGAAGGGAATTTTAAAAATTCATTTTATTAGGCTGGTAGAGACTTAGGTTTGGAACCAGGAAAAACTATCAAACTAGAGTCTAATAACCAGCTTGGATATTTCTTTAGAGTCACAAGAAAGGTGAGTCTGAACACAGGTAGCCCAAGCTCAGAGGTGGTGAGGAATATAGGTTTTAAAAATTATTTCAAAATTCTTGTCTTTCAAGCTATTATCTTCTTCAATTATTGTCGTTTTGTCCTTAGCATTTTGTCCAAATTAGGATTGAATTTGTAAATCAAATTAATGCAAATGTGTGCCAATTTGAACTGTTTTGTGCCAATTTGAACTGGACTGAAATTTCTGTTTCAAATTTTAACATTTATCTAATCATGAATTCAGTAAACCTTACGTTCTTCACAAACTCTGCACTTGGGCTACTTGTGGTCTAAATTTCCCCAGATCCTTGGGTTTCCTGTTTATTGATTCACACCAATAGCACACACAAATCTACACACACTTTATACCCATGTAAACCCTGTATACCACATACCCCCTGTATATACAGTATACACCCTTTATACCCATGTACACCCCAGTACTGTATACCCCTAGTTTACACTGCACATGCAATATACACTCTGTAAACCCTGTATACCCCTGTAAATCCTGTGAACCATGTTTACACTGTACATGCAATATACACCCTTTATACCCATAGACACCCTTTATACCCATGTACACCTGTACACCATATATACCCATGTACACCTGTACACCATATATACCTATGTATACCTTGTACACCCTGTATACCCTTGTACACCATGTACACTGTATACTCTACACCATGTATAACCATGTTCTCCATGTATAAATTGTAATATCTTTGTATTGTTTGCTTGCCCTACGTTAAAAGAGGGAACAGGATTTTGAATCTACCTTACTTGATTAAGAGAATAATTATAATAATAATGATAATGATAATAATAATAACTATCAGCTTTGCTGAACTGGACACCTCTGTATAAATATTGTCGATAAAAAAAAAAATATTTGTATAGCGCCCATCCAGAACTGCTCTAGGCACTCAGGAAAAAATTATTAAAAAATTAAATGCTAATTTAAGCAAATAAAAAATTAAAATTGAGTTTTGTCAAATTTTTGTTATCATAGGAAGAAAAAGGGCTGCGTAATAACAAGCGATATATCACTCTTGATACAAGAAAAGATGGCATACGGTTTACAAACTCTTCACTGAAGCAGTTAAATGATGAGTTCCAGGGCTACAAAGAAACTTACAATGATGTTCAGAGCAAGCTAGCTTCTGAGGTGTTAAGGGTTGCTGGTAAGGGGTTTAGAATATATGATTATTGTTTATAGAGAAAACACCAATAAAGCAACCAATATAATGTTTGACTGTAGGTGGTTACAGTGAACCAATGCAATCAATGAGTGATGTAACAGCACAGCTGGATGTACTGGTCAGGTAAGCAATATTACTATGATTAGGTAAAGGAATGGATGGCTGGATGAATAAATGAAAAATTAATGAATAAAAATGAATGATTGTGCATGTTCTATTGGAAAATGCTCACATGCGCATTCCAAACATTATATCAATGATTTACAATATGTGATAAGATATAATCTAATCTAAATAATAATAGTCAAATTTCTGGATGCTAATGTATGAATAATCTTGTAATAATAGACAATATTAATTGTGGAAAACGAAAAAAGTCATAATTGTGAGGGTGATAAAATATTGATTGATTGGATGTATTAAACAAGGAATAAATGAATGGATGGATTAATAATAATAACATTTGGCATAGAATGGAATGATTGACTTAATGAAAATAAATAAAAAAATGGAATGGAATAGAATGAGATGAATGGCTACTGAAGTAACATGACAGTAACTAGGTGAAGGATGAAAATGAAGCCATGCAGCTGAAAAAGACTACTAATTATATTAGTATTTGTAAAAGTAGCATAGTTCAGTTAATTTAGGTATTATGCAGTATCCGCTATACAGCTTAGTATTTCAAAAAAAAATTTTGAATGCCGCATACTGAATATTGCATACTGAATAGCACAACTCAGGTAAATATGACCATTCTGTACTTACAGTCAAACCAGTTCAAGGGTACCCCAAAGAATGCATTATTCATTTGATAATATGATTATTTGAACCATTATTTGTTTCAAGAATGCATTCTGTTTGAAAATATGTAAACAAATATTCAAAACATTATTCCATTTCATTTTCAGCTTTTCTCATGTTTCTGCTAATGCACCCATACCATATGTAAGGCCAACCATTACACCTCAAGGTAGGACACCATTCCACCATTGCTTGATTTTTGCCTAATACTGCTAACTCAGACCTTTTAGTTGTATGACAGTCAGGCATGTTTTGATTGACTGATCAGGTGAAGGTGATATCAACCTCATGTCATCTCGTCATCCTTGCCTTGAGATGCAGGAAGATGTTTCATTTATTTCTAATGATGTTGAGCTTCAAAAAGGTAAGTCATCTGCAGTTCTTTAATAGTAACATGGCTGAATAGTCCTCTTTAGCTATAATTGGTCTTGTTTTCCCATTTCAAATTTGCACGTGCCACTTTCCCTTGAGTGTCATTTCTTTTTTTGTCACCAACAAGGAGACACATAAATATGGATACAACTAAAAAACATTTTATGGTCAAGAGACATGTGACATCTAAATTGGGAAAACATTATGCACATCAGGAAAAAATTATAAAAAAAGCCATGCCTGGTTTTCTATATGACATGATGGTTTTTACCATGTTCCCATTTTCCCATTTATGGAAACAATATAAAATCCATTTCTGGTAATAGTACTACTTTTCCACTGAAGTGCATATGAAACGAAAAAATTTTAATGTTAAAAAATGATTTGTACATTTTATGGGTACTAAATATCATGTGGTTAAAATTGTTTCAAAAATGTATTTATCAAGAAATTCAAGAAGTGTTTGCACAAGTTGAGACGTCATTTTGTTGACTCATACTATAGATTAAGTAATAATGTACTAAACAAAAATTGTGATTGGAATAAAATAAYAATAAAAAGCATATTCTATTCAGCTTCATTTGACAGCTTTTGTGGTACTCTTCAAATGTTGGGAATTTGAAAAGTGTCCTCCCTGAAACTAAGATTCTACATTCCAACATATTTCATGTATTTGTAACTAAATCTGGAGACTTGTAAACAAATGATGTGTGATTGTGCTAAATTTTCTTGAATTTCTATGATCAATGTAATACTTATGTTTTGTTAACTGATTTTTTTCCATTTTTGAGATAAAAAAGTGTGGAAACTGCCTTTATCACATTGTTTACTATTTTTATTTTCAAGACTTTGTGAATTTATTTTCCATTTGCTGAAGTTTCACTAAAATAGTAATAGTTTCTCTTTCTTAAAATATCATGACTTTCGACTTTCCATCTCAGTACTTTATTTCTTTTACCTGTGTAAATATTCTTTAGGATTGAAATTAAGTCGAAATCAAAAATAAAAATTGTATTTCAGGCCCTTACAATCTGATAGTGCCAAAACTAAAAGGCAAAGCAGCATGCTTCTTGAAGTACTCAAGTTTTGATAGCAATTTTCTAGATCATGATATTTTCATTTTTGTATAACATTGTCCATAAAAGCAGCATTTAACAAGCTAGAAGGAAGTTGCAGAAGGAGTCAAAAAGGCATTCAGCATCTTACAAAAAAGACAATGTCACACCAATCAGTGCGATAATTATTTTTAGCCTAGCTAGCAAATCTGATGGACCAAGTATTTATTGAGAGATGGACTCCCCAAGTAATTTTTCCCGGATTGAATCAGTCTTTATTTGGTGACTCTTTACTAATTTCAATTTCCTAAATATTCTTTCCTTTTCTTAAGATGATAAAATGTTTCTCATAATCACTGGTCCAAACATGGGTGGAAAGTCTACATATATTCGACAGGTATTTGAATAAGCTGAAAAACAGAGGAAGCCTAATCAACTAATTTTCCTCACAGTTCTATTTTTCTCATTGACAGATAGGTGTAATAGTTTTGATGGCACAACTTGGTTGCTTTGTGCCCTGTTCCTCTGCTCAGATATCTATTGTAGACTGTATTCTAGCTCGTGTGGGATCTGGCGATAGCCAGCAGAAGGGCGTGTCAACTTTCATGTCAGAAATGCTCGAGACAGCTTCAATACTCAGGGTAAAGATCATAGGCCAAATGCATGAAGGTGTCATATTTTGCTATTTTGTAACTTGTAGTTAATCTCTTTTTTCCTTGTTTATGTCTAGTCAGCTACAAAAGATTCCTTAATCATCATAGATGAGCTTGGCAGAGGTACATCTACTTATGATGGGTTTGGCCTGGCCTGGGCTATTTCTGAGTAAGTGAATTACATTAGTCTTTTTTGGGAGGCGTTTTGAATACATAAATTCATAGTGCACTCAAAAAGAATTTCCCCCTTTTTTCTCCCATTCAGCTATACAATAAAATGCTCCACAGGTTTATTGTATTGTATTTAATGATTGTAGGTATATAGTAACAAAGATCAAGTGCTTCTGTTTATTTGCAACTCATTTCCATGAACTGACAGCTTTAGCTGATGTTGTTCCCATGGTAACCAACATGCATGTGACAGCCATGACGTCTGAAGGCACTTTGACTCTACTCTACAAAGTTAAGCCAGGTAAGACTTAATAGGCTGGGTGGATTGTCTGAGGATACCCAACCCCCCCCACTCACACACACAGACACATCCAGCCCATCCTGCTCAGTGGTCCCTGTTGCATAATAATGTAAGTGGGGGAAGAGAATTGATTAAAGTATACAGAAAGTTTAAACTATGAGTAGATAATCCTATCTTTTTATAAACCAGTTGATAAAGTAATTAATCATTTTTGGTGTTAGGAGTATGTGACCAGAGTTTTGGTATTCATGTTGCTGAACTGGCTCACTTCCCTCAAAGTGTAATAGAGGTAAGGAAAGAGTGGAACCAAACTTGTAAAACGAGATTTTTCTTATAATACTATGTGTAGCATATTGTTGCTTTGGAGAGCTTCATGCATGGAATATTTCATGTAGTGGTAGTGAAAATCAAGAATTGATTTTACATGGGGTAAGATGTTGAATAACCCGAAAAATTTTCATAGTTTGAGTGAGGCTTCTTGAAGTTATAAACTAAGGTTTTTTTCCATGCCATATGCTAGTGCTGTGATGTATGAGGAGGTATTTATGGTTATTTGTTGTTTCTTGTAATTCGAAACACTGTCTTCTATGTGAAAACTAACCTGAAATAGTTTCTATAAGCCAGAGCAATGGGCGAAACAATAACAGATTTTGAATTTAATTTATCTGTGCCAGTAATGTTTTGTATATTAAATGATTACTCTTCATACGTCACAACGTTGTAAAGTACCTTAACTTGTGTTTAAGGAGTAAAGATTGGAGACATTAAGATTTGATAGTTGTAGTGGCACTTAATACAAAACTGACCTTTTCTTGTTAGTTTGCAAAGCAAAAAGCTGCTGAGCTGGAGGATTTTCAGGGTAGTACAGCAGAACTTGGTGAAGGAATAGTTGGTATGTATAATGCTGAGAAAATTCATTTACAATAATTATTATCAGTTAAGATTTCTAGGATTCTTGCAATCTTTTTTTAGTGAACTACAGTGTAACTCTACTTGGGACAACTTTGGAACAGTGATGTCCATAGTAGCAAAAGAGTAGGACAAAAATATGTGAAACTGCTTTAATTTAAAAAAAATTCTGAGTCAGAGACAAACATTTCAAGTATTTTTATAGATCCTGACTCATCCTGACTTCAATTATATTATATGTACAAAATTTATTTTGTACTAGTTAATAATGATTATTTCAATAATAATTTCATCAGTCCTATTAATAGCACATGCTAGTTAAATTAGGTTGGATTAGATCCCCTTTTTTTATTTTTTCAATTTTGTTTCTTGTGATTCTAGATCAACATTCAGGATGTTCTCCTTCCAAAAAGAGAAGAAAAATTAAGCAGGTAGGGGCCCATGCAAATCTGCTCAATGTGTACTGCACAACATATATAATATGGAGATTTCAATTAAATGGTGGGTTTGCAATGTATTATTGTCAGTGGTTTTGTTTTGTCCAACAATGTTGGACCATCTGATCACAATCACCAATGACAGCCAACAATGTTTGGAATTATTGGTTCTTTAAGGTGGCTTCATAATATAGTTTTGGTATTTAGAGTAGAACTAGAAAATTAATTATTTTATAGCAAATACAGATCTATATCTTGATATCTGATACACTAGTTCCATATTAAAGACTTATATGAGTTTAGGAATCATTTTTCCTGAAAATGATCACATGAATAGTTACCATAGCAGTAACATCAGCCACAAGACAGGCCCTTTTTGCCATTAAAAACTAAAATCTTGAGTTCTGTGGTCAATCTTTTTGAGATTGCATAATACGTAAGTTTGTTTTGTTACTTATCATATGACAGCGTTATATTAAAATCATGACATTACAGCAACCAAGATATTAATGAAATATTGATTTTTCAAGATAAAACGTTTTCTGTAGTCCAAATACTTTTTATATTGTGTCAGTTGCCTTCGTTCTATGAAGAAAAAACTGTAGCAATTGAAAGATATTTGACCACGTAGTTTTCGAGTTTTTAATTTTTAAATAAATGATGCATGCAACCAACTTTTCATGACGTCATCAAAATAAAAATTCTGCAAGTTCTGGTACTGCGCATGCTTGTGCACAACCTGGCACTACTATATGGAGCCACCTTAAATAAAGGGTAGGTCACTTTTTGTTGTTGTGGTTTTTATTTTAAAAAATTTTTTGCGACCCCAGACAACTTGATATGCAGTACTTTTTCTCATGTTTTTGTTTCCATCAAATTAACAAATTGACATTTAGTTTTTTATGTGTCTGTCCTCTTATTGATGAAAAATTCCGTCATCACATTGTCAAAGTAGCGTGGATTCAAGAGGCATAGCCATGTGGATCGGCATACTACTTTGACAATGTGATGACGCAATTTATCGTCAATAAGAGGACAGACACATAAAAAACTGATGTCTATTTGTTTTTTCCCATAACAAAAATGATAAAAACTTCTCATTTTCAGAGATCAAAACAACCAACAGAAAGAGTGCGCGCTCATTGACGACAGCTTTATCTGTCTGTCCTCTTATTCAGGGTTCCCAGGGATCAAGGAAAAGTCAGGGAATTTTAATTTTCAAAATGGCTTGGAACACTATATCATTGATAATAAAAAATAACCAATCAGCGCACCAGAAGTTATTGTAAAATTTTCGATGGTTCTGAAGGGAGCTTGAAAATCCAAAGTTTTTAAGAGAAACAAAGTTTTTCAATACTTTGGATACTTTCACAGGAAGGAGAGATGATTATCAAGGAATTCCTAGACCAAGTAAAGAACCTGCCAATGGACTCCATGACAGATGATCAAGTTGTAAAAGAAGTAGATCAGCTTAAACAAACTGTTCTGGATAAAGATAATCCTTACATACAAGAACTGGTTTCAAAGTAAAACAAGATTTAAAGATAATAAAACCTAAAAAATACATCTAAAAATCGTTATGTACCGTCTCAGACTAATGTTAAATAAATAAATAGCTGATTGAAAACAAAAACAAAAAAAAACAGCAATTCACATAAAGTACCTATAAGGGCCCGTTCGCACTAGGCTAAATTTATGTGTGTTTTGCAAAAAAATCTGTCAACATCGGCCGTTTCCTAGGGTGAACGCAATTTTTTTATCTTACCAAAATTTGTCCCGCTCTACCAAATTTCAAAGACGCCGTCGGCCTGCTTCAAAGCAGACCAAATTTTTTTAAACATCAAAACTGTCAGATTTTTTTGATCCCTAACAGAATCATATGCATTTGGCGCTACTACGGATTGCAAATGGATCCATCTCAACTTGTTAATAGCCAACAAAACATTAAGTCAGATAGAAATGGCGCATAAGCTACCGGCGTCCAAGATAACTACAACTATTCAAGCAGTGAAACAAGCAAATAAGGCAAAAAAGGCAAAGGAAAAGAAAACTAGGGGAAAGGCAAAGGCCCAGCTAATGCGGCTCAAGTCGATACCCTAGGTAGTATCCAATATGGCTGAAATCTTTGTTGCCGTCTTCCATTATTTATTCTGAGCACAATTTGATTTTGAAGTTGCTGGACCCTCAAAAGACAAAGCAGCATCATAAGTTGTTGCTGCATACAAAACAGATATTGCAATAAAACAAGGAAGAAAAATAGAGAGATGATGATACACGTCATGTAGTGTTACATTTTGATTGACATATGCTTCTTGCAGATCAGATTTTGGTATCTCGTAGTGCGAACACGACAGGCCAAACAATTTTTTGTCAAAGCCAATTTTTGTCATGAATGAAAATGACTCGGACAATTTTTGTCGGACTAGTGCAAATGGGCCCTAAGCCAATATTTTCAGAATTGATTCTTTAGACTTTGAATACAATTGGTTGATTGTGCAAATATTACTTTGTTCCAGTGATGTCAGGTCTTCAAAGTGCCTATCACCCTTCTGACAATAATCACAGTTGTATTGATTCTAAATGAGGTAAGAGAATAAAATTCCGGAAAAAATCATAGTTTGAGTGCGGCTTCTTGAAGTTATAAAGGTTTTTCCATGCCATAGTATGCTAATGCTGTGATGCACAAGGAGGCATTTATGGTTATTTGTCGCTCCTTGTAACTTCAAACACTGGCTTCTATGTGAAAACTAACTTGCAATAATTTTTATAAGAGCAACTGGGAAAACAATGACGTATTTCAAATTTAATTTATCTGTGGTAGTAATGTTTAGTGTATTAAATGATTACTTCTCATATGTCACAACATAAAAATAGATACAAAAGAAAACAATTGGATTATGTTCTACTCAAGTTTATTAATGAAATATCAATGCACTATTCAGTATGTAGTATTCATTATTCAACCGTTTTTGAAATAGCTGTATGTAATATTTCAAAGACGACAATGAGGACTGGATGGGGTCTAAAGTCTAAGCAATTAGTTCCAGTCCTAGGCACAGCCAAGAACTTGAACTAATTGCGTGGACTTGAAATCCCTTCGAGTTCGATATTGGAGGCTTTGAAATGACTTCTCATGCTCATTAATTATTCGACTTGGAGTAATGGGAACAAAATTAATTCAGTCCTAGGACTGAATTAATTTTGTTCCAGTTACTCCAGACTGAATGCATTCCTTTCACAGGACTTTACAAGGTTTCAAGTAACATCATGTGACCCAAAATAGCCCATTGATTGGCTGGTTTACTAATGAAGTATTAAAGAATATGAGAATTGCAATTATCTAACAAGTGAATCTGTGACAGCCCTAGAGTGAGGTCACTAACACTTGAAATAGATTCATATATGGGTTTATAATGAATACTGCATAACTGAATATTGCATAGATATTTTACTAGCAGATTGGTAGGCTCTAATTCCATTGTGTCTATTTGACTATTACACATTGATGTTTTTATTTCACGGGTGAAATGTCTTCACTCTAGTGCATGGGTCCATAACTAGTAGAGTTGATTACTGAAATAGCCCTTATTATGGAGTTGCTGATAGAGTGAAGTCATTAAACCTGTGAAATTGATATTAGACTAACACACTAGTAGATCTTAATTCCATTGTTTTCTTTTGTGTCTATTTGATGATTACATGTTGACTAATAATCTTTATTACACTTTTAGGGTTAATATCAGTGTGATAAAGCCGTGAATGAAAACCGTATCAATGAATTGATATGATATCATTTCACAGTGAACTGGAAATTATTGTAAATTTTGATTTTTTTTCACAATCACCTTTTCATTATCTAAAGAAATAATTTTGAAGGCTAATAGGCACTAATAACACAGGATACAAAAAAATAGGTGCTCAATAAGTGCATGTGGCTACTGCCATAAGAAATTGTTGTTATGTAGGAAAGGAATGGAGGAAGTTGGTAGCTGACTATTGAGATACATGAAGGATATATAGGTAATTGAATTAGCGGTGTTTGGTGAAAAAAATGTAAATGTTAAAAGTAAAGGTTTATATTGAAGAAATAGAGAAACTCATGTGCGTGTTGTGTGCTGTCATAAAGCACGCGGGGGTTGGCATAACGCGAGAGAAGTGTTAAGAGATGGAAGACGCATAGCGGAGTGCTTCTGGACACTTCTCGAGTGTTCTGCCAATCCCCAAGTGCTTTATGACTGCACACAGCACAGCAAGCAAGTTTTTTATTTCTTTTATAAAATACAAATTACGATAATAGATAGGAATGACGCAATGGAATGTGCTCGTGCCTGCAATGTGCTCTCATAAAGCACACGCTCCAAACCAATCAGAACGCGACATTCATAACAGTTATTTTATAAATATATATATAACGAAATGTTGATATTGATTTTATGAATTTTTATAGGGCTTAAATTAACATTGGTAATGGGAAATGTATGTTTCGTTTTATGTCTTAGTGTGTGTTGTAAGATATTATTTGAAAAAGCAATTATTTGATAGGAGTACAGCTTTATTTCCAAAGTTTATGGATTGAGAAATTTTGGGCTTCCTGTGGCGTTAGAGACTTACTCACTTAACAATGACATAGTGGCTTCGCCTCTGCTAGGCAGAACCATAACAAGCCAAATTGACAAGACAATGAGTATTAAAATCTTCTGAACCACATCAATGTAAGAAAAAGCATGCTACCAATGATAATCTCTCACCCATGAAGAGCATTCATCTCAAAATGTTTTAGAGTGGGACATGACTTTTCTAGTATGACCATAATTTAATCGAAATATGGCAACTAATTGGAATAAATATTATTCTGCACTGACTAGTGACTGACTAGCCTTGTGTTTGCGTACAAACACAACAATGCAGAATAATAGTTATTCAAATTGGTCGCCAATTTTTATGTRTATGGTTGGGTGGGATTGGTAGTATTTAATGATATTAACATCATCTTCGCTTTTTCTTCTTTCTCACTTGATCAAACCATTTTTCAATCTTTGCACTTTCCTCTTTAGACTGAACAAACGTTGATGGTTCTGTAGTATAAGGTAGGGCTTCCATAGTCTCATTTATGGAGCTATTATTAGGAGGATAGTCTCTTAGGTACCAGAGTGCTGCTTTGTCTCGTTTCTCATGTTTAAGTACTTCTATTTTTTGGATATTTGGTGAGTAAAGTTGGAAGTTTACTTCCATTGGCTCTCCATCAATTACATTACGCAGAGTAAATGTTGCACCCAGTGTGTTCTGCCAGTGGTTCTTGGCCATGCAAAGTCCTACGAATCTAGCAAAGAAGAACAAAGAAAATTAATGTAAAGTGTGATGCCAATTTTTACATCTCTTTTTCAATTAAAACTTTGCTGGCTAAAGAATAGTTAGATTGCACATATATATTATAGGGTTATAGCCCTGTAGATGGCCAGCATGACCAAAAGCTTGGCAGTAAAATAAACCTATACACTGTAAAACGTAGTGGATATGGTATTTTTTTTTCAACATGCATCTTATGCACAACAATACCAGTAGTCATCTGACTGGTGTGATCCTGAATTTTCTATTCAATATCTCAAAAACCAAAAGTCAAACTGTGGTAATGATCAAACTATATCAGTGTATATGTATGTATGTTATTTACTGGTCAGGAGGTCCAGACAAGGAAAAACTATGCCAGAGGTCTTAACATATGAATCAAGTCCGTTAGGCTGCGAGGTCCATTTTTACTGTGATTCCCAGTCACACTCGACCAACTGAGACCTAAATCACAAACAAAAAATTGAGTTTTGGTGGAAGTCAATCAAAAGGGTCTCTTAAACCTGTCTAAGGATTCCCATTCCAACTTTCAAATGCTTAACTGAAAAGCTATCGGTATTGACTTATCTGATCTTGAAGAAACTCAAACCATAGTCATAGCAATAGCTTTGCAGTCCATTGTTTAAGATCTGGAGCCAAAATCCTGTGACATTTTCAATATCCAGAGTGAGAAATTCACAGCCACAAGAAGCATGGAATAAGGACAACGGTTTTTACACTGGTTCATGCGAGTATTCACAACAGTCCTGGTGTAGAAACCAACAGAAACAATAGAAACCCTTTTGATTGACGTCCACCCAAACTCAATTTCTCGTTTGTAATGAAGGTCTAGTTGGTTGCATGTGACTGGGAATCACAGGAAGTCTGAGGCACACTCAAACAGCCAATTAGAATCCATGTTTTTTAGGATACCAGACCCGAAAAGCATAAACAACATAATTTAACCCCCACAGTAAAAATATTCATTCTCTTAGCAAAGTATTGTGAAAGATAATTTCTTACCTCACTTTACCACGAGGTACATATGGATCAGCACGAGTAACTGCTACTATACTGCCCACACAGAATTCTGGGACTTGTAGTCTTTTGATTCTTTCATAACAATCCCTCTGTTCTAAATATGTCATAACATCTACTCCTACTTCTTCTGGAGTGGAAGGAAATTCCTGTTGTGTTTGATCACATTCCTTCCACAAGAACCTTGGTTCAGGAGTCTCTCTTAGCAATGCTTTTTTGGCATTTGGTAAAGTTTTGTAAATGGAATCTACCTGGACTTGAGAAGCATCCTGCTTGAACCAGAGTTCTGGAGTAACTTGTGTAGTGATTTGCTGAGGTAAACAAGAAAAATAGGTTATACTGCCTCCAGAGGGTTTTTTTTCTTTTCCTTGTTTGATTTCTTTAATTTTCTTGGTGGGGGTGGCAGGGATCACGTAAAATGCATTTCCACAATAGACCAGTTTCGAATCCCAAATTACCATAGTGTTCCTTGATTACAGACTCATTTACACAGGGTTAGTGTTATATCTGTGTTTATATATTTACAAATACCAATGGTAAATTAAGGAATGCATAACTTCAACAATAAAAACACTTTGAAACTTAATGGACCTTGACTGGAACATGTGAATATTCTGCACAACATTGAGGCTAACCCTGTGTAAATGAGACTGTAATCCAAATACATAGTGGTAATTTGGAAGTTGAAACTGGTCTATTGCAATTTTATTGCATCCCTGGCCTTACTTCGCTTGTGTTAAAAAAGGCTTTTTATCCAAACAGTTACCTAATGTACCTCTTGGGAAGTGGTGGGTGGCATGATTGACGGCATTTTTTGATGGGGAGGGGTGAGGTTTTTTTGGTTGAGAGGATGAAGTATAATGTTGTTTCAATTACCAAGGAGGAGAGTTTTCTTAAAACTTTTTACGAAATGTTGACTTTATTTGATTTTTTATATCAAGCTCATCAAGAGTTCCAAAATCTAAAAATGAGGAAAACCATACAAGAAAACAGAACACGTGGGAAAGTAACTAAATGTACATAAGCTCATTGGTACAACTGTATATACCGTATGTCCTCAAAMCTCGTTATATATATATATTAAAAAAAGTTAGTATTTTAAAATATCAAAACATACCTTTTTCTTCCTTTCTTCGTAACTGGCTTCAGCAGACCCTACAAGGAAAGATTTCGGGTTGATAGTAAGCTACATGTTGTGCAGTCAACAAGAACAACATTGCATAACTTTATTTCAATCTTTACTGTTTACACGTACCCTTTGAGGTATCCTTTGTAGACCAAGGTATATTTAAAACACGCCTTGCTATTTTGTTAAAGTATTTTTCGGTAACAAACGGAGACAAAAATCCAGTTTTTGCTCGAAACCGGTGCGCCATCTTGAAAACTACGCACGGGACACAGCAGAAAAGGACTGGAAGCAATCCGATTCAACCCCGAGAGAAAAACGAAAAATTATTGACTTAGCAATTTTGACAAAAAATCCCTTCTGTGAATTTTTCAATTTCTATTTTATCGTTTGAAGCATTTTTAGCTTCTAAGTTCTCTCGAAGTTTATTAAAATTGTGTAATCTTAATGTTAAAGCTAATAAATTTGATTGAAATTAAAGTCGCACGAATAATTATCGACTGTAACATGCACGCAAAGGATCACTGATCATTTCCCCACGAGACGGAACTAGACGGATTTTATTACGAAGTAGTTGCGTCCAAAGAGTCAAAAGTTTGCACTTGAAAAACATTTTAAAGCAATCCAATAGTCCACCATGCCTCGTATTATGATAAAAGGAGGTGTGTGGCGGAACACAGAGGTAAGAAACCAGTTAAATTCTTTGTTAATCGCCATAGTTTTGTTTCCCTTGTCTTGTAAACGAATAAGCTTAAATTATCGAGTTTTGGATGTATGTATGATAATTCTGTGATTAAGCTTAAATATGTTGGATTGGCTTTTTCGCAGGATGAAATATTGAAAGCAGCTGTTATGAAATATGGAAAGAATCAATGGTCTAGAATCGCTTCTTTGTTGCACAGAAAATCTGCAAAGCAGTGTAAAGCAAGATGGTAAGAAAACAAATCTCTTCACTGTCGCATTAGCCTTTTAAATTTGGAATCTAATTCATGCATGGTATTTCTGATTTATTATTTAATTAATTTATCTTTATATTCAAAGTTTTTTTTGCTTGATTCTCATAGAATTTTTAGGATGAGTTACAAAATCCGTGGTTTCCTCTAGGATCCCTGTGGTTTATTAAACCACAGGTAACCCAGTCAGCTATTGTTGCATGTAAAAAAAATAATCACAATATTTTATTGACTTTTTAATCTTCTGTTTTAGGTACGAATGGTTAGATCCAAGTATTAAGAAGGTAATTAATGGGGATATTTTGTAGGTCTTAACCTTAAGTTCATTGATTTCCATTTTTTCTGTAATGTGTAGTTCCAGAAATTATCTTTATCCCCCGCCCAAGAGGAATTTTGAATTTCCGAGGGGTGGAGGGGCAGAAAAAGAACAAAATTACAGAGTTTGTATGAAAGAAAATTGGAATTTCTGGGGGGTAGGGAGGTGTCTTAAAAAATTCCTCTGGGGGGGATAAGGATAATTTTTGGAAGTACATGTATACAATATGAAATCATAAATCTTACTGTAGTCTGTGTGTCGTTTGTCTAGACTGAATGGAGTCGAGAAGAAGATGAAAAGCTGCTTCACTTGGCAAAGCTAATGCCGACTCAGTGGAGAACTATTGCACCTTTAATTGGCAGGACAGCAGCACAATGTTTGGAGAGATATGAATACCTTCTGTACGTAAAACATCTGATTAGGAAATAACTTATTCTTTTTTGTTTTATAACGTAAAAAAGTGTTTTTGCCCCATCTGTAAAGAGTATAAACAAAAGAAGATATAAAAAAGGATACAAATAATTTTTTCGATGAAGGCGGTCAAATGAGGGACAAGGGTTGCCCTGATATGCAACCAGTCTGGTCGAACAAAACCTTCTATCAAATACTGCAGCTGAAAAAAAGAAGAACAAACAACATGGTAGCTGCTTTGTGTCGCATTGTACAGTATCTCGGTCCTTTCCACAGCTTGGATTCACTTTTCACTCGAAATTTCTGACCCTGCCAGAGTATACTTGAAATCTTGAGTGAACATTTTTTTTTTCAAATTTAGAGTGTATATATTTTTCATATTCCATATCCTAATAGAATAGTCCCATCAGAGTGTGCCGCCAGATCAACTTTCACCAGCCAAAACCATTAATTTATCAGACGAATGCCTAATTTGCAGGCTTGTATATACTCTCTTAAATTAAAGTTTTGATTGGTATGTCATTATCATGTATGTATGGAGAGTTAATACCATGTTTCCCACTTGTGTGGAAATTATTACATAAATGAATTATTTAAACAACAAATACATTATTCTTATATTCATTAAAAACGTTCGTAACTATAGTYGAACCCTTTACAGTAAATAAAATTGACCACGTGTAAAGTGTTAACCTAGAGCCTAAAAAACTAGAAATACAAGACCTTTAACTATTCTATTTTGAAATCATTTGGGTATCTGTTTACAGTGATCAGGCACAAGCTAAAGAAGAAGACAGAGAAGATGATGATCCGAGAAAGCTTCGCCCAGGAGAAATTGATCCAAACCCTGAAACAAAACCAGCACGACCAGATCCTATTGACATGGATGAAGATGGTACATTATTCTTGGTTTTCATTTATTTCATCATGAATTTCAAAAGCGGAATTTCGCATAATAATAAAATTAAATTTTCATAATCTATAACAACATATGCTGGTCAAATTTCAATGCTGTAAAGCATTTTGTTGTGGAGTTATAAATTAGTAAACATGATGCAATTTTAAGTAAAGATGTATGGAGCGGCCATTTTGGTATTCCAAGTTAGTTCACCAACATGGCAGAAGAAACTTCAATAGCTTATGATGATGGAATATTCAATATTTTTGTTTATATTTTACTGAAACATACTTTACATTGCTAGGTGCCTAACCATGGCCATCCAACCTATTTTTTTATCAATGCCGTTGAATCCTTTCCCGCCAAGTGTTTCCATCAATTAAAAGACTTTTTACGAGTATCCAGTGTTAGCCAGCAAAGGGACCAAATAAGGTATCACCTAGGCAAATTCCTAGCCATTTAGTTTTTGTTGCAAAGAGACTACTACGAAATAATTTTGAACTTTGTGGTCACGCCAAGTAAGTTCACGTGCAAATGCATAAATTCTCGCTGTCTGATTGGCTAACTAGTTAAAAATAAGTTGGGTGGCCATGGTTAGGTGCGTCGCACTGTAAATACAGTAGATGTCGTAAATGTGTCTAAGCAAAAAATCTTTCAGCAATTTTATGTATTTGAACAATATCTTTATATTTTCATCCCTACTTAGAAAACACATGATTGCGTTATGCAAACTTCACCTTCATAACTGGGGAACCAAACATCAAAATGACTTGAAATGTTTTTTCTGTTGTAATTATAAAATTTAGTGGTAGGGTGCGTGGATGGAACCTCTTGGAAGAGCCCCATGTAGGTGTGGTGGCTTTAAAATATGTTGACCTTCCACAGAAATAATTTTAAGATTCTCCTTTTTTAAATACAGGTATTTTTTTACGTTTGAAAAGAGTATAATCATCATTATTATTATTTGTTGTCCATACAAACGCAAAAAGAAACATGATCATCATTGTCCCAACTAGGCCTCACTGGTTCTTATTGGTAATCTCTGTATACTATTGCCATTGTATGTGTGTTCTTAGCATATGGTCTAAATATTGGCAACTATTTTGTTTTAGAGCTTGAGATGCTGTCTGAGGCACGTGCTCGTCTAGCGAACACACAAGGCAAGAAAGCTAAAAGAAAAGCCAGAGAAAAACAACTTGAAGAAGCAAGGTACTGTACTTGTGATGTCATTTATGAGAGAATGTCATCTTCATAAATAATCTTTTGAAGTTTTGTATTTATTTTACTCATATTTGGATTTCAGGCGTCTGGCAGCACTGCAGAAGAGGAGAGAGTTACGAGCTGCTGGGATTGAGTAAGGACTTCAATCTTTAAAGACTGTCTGCCAACACTAGTACCAACATTACTGACAGACAGTCATTTATTATCCGATCCTCGTGATTTATTTTGGCATATTTATTACTATATAGTTTTGTACTGCACTGTTTGTATGGAACTCATAGTTAAGGTGGCTGGACCCCCTCACGCTTGACCGCTACCTTCCACTTTTGGAACGCTAGTGCATAAACGTCTTTTATCCTATTGCAAGTCTTTTTTGCACATAAGTCACATAAAGATTGAATTAATGTTTGATGCAGTTTTTTATGAGATCGGACGTCATAACACGTGATTATGATGAAATATTTGATTTGGTTAAGAAAATAAATTTAGCCTTGCAGAGCGTTCAACACTAAAATGCTTCGTACCACATAATTATATACTAGATGCCTTCATTTGTGGGGATTTTTGAAAAAATCTATCTAGCTAATAATGAGACATTTGAGATTATTTAAATATAGTGCATAATCTACTTCAAAACTAAACAATGGATTTCATACGGCCGAAATTAATATTTCAGAGCTATATATTCACAAAAG